ATATTTCTGTAATTGCTCTAAGAACGCGTATATTTTTAAAAGATAAGAGATAAGTGATCAATGCCAAGGAAAATAAATTAATGTGTCTCATACCATTGTTTTACATTTTTATTGTGGTGCCCCCCTTACTTTTTTGTTTTACTTCTGAGGCATATCCGAGTAAACTGTTAGCTGTAAGTGCTCTTCCAAAATGAATTATTCCTTTAATATGGCGGAATTCAGATGAAGGGGAAGTCCCTGTTGTGACTAGTCGTGTGTCGATAGTGGGACAGCTCGGGATGCACTCCGTTTCGCCTCAGGAAAGTCTCCTTGATGATGTTTTTGCGTGCGTGGATCTTCATATCGACCGAAGTCAGGGGCATGTGCTCTACCAGCCAGCCGTAGTCCCAGCTGCTCGTCAGGGGGTAGTAGTAGCGCTCGTCGGGGCTGGCGCGGTAGCGCGCCTTGAGGAAGGCCTCCGAGCCCTCTGGGTACACGGAGAGCATCGTGGGTCGTCAGGGTACTTTGGTCGTGTGTGCAGTGCAGTGTAGCATTCGTCAACTCGTTCGTTACCCTTGAGCTGCGCTCGTTCGGACTCCGACACGGGTCTCATGGGCGGGAGCAGCTCGACGCTGTTGTCTGGTTTGGGTATCGGCGGCAGCGAGTGCCGGACCACGAAGCGAGGGGCGTGCTTCTGGTCGTGCAGGCGCCGCCGGACCAGCTCGTCGTAGAGCACCGCGGCCTTCCTCGGCACGGACTCGGCCGGCTTGCCCTCGTACACCCGCTTGTAGTTCTTCTCGAACCAGTGCAGTCGCGTGAGAAACTCTCTGTTGTAGACCTCGGCGAAGAAGAGGGCATCGTTGAAGTTGAACTTGGAGGATTTGGAGCCGGACATGTTGCAGGAGGTGAGATTGGAGGCCGAAAAGATAGGGGAGTAAGTTGAGGTGAGTGTGGCGAGTCTTGTTCTGATTGTTTGGGGGGCTTCGTCATAACAATGGCACGTGCGGTGCGCTTATCAGCCCGGTAGTACTACCCCGAACACGGCAACTCCCACGTCACGTACACCCAGCCGCTCTCTCACACAAGTTCACTGTACGACGCGCACACGCGCTCACGGCGTTGGAAATGCTGGATCGGGGAAGGAGCATTGCGTCCGTCTTTATTTCTCGCCATCGAACGTCATATTTTCGTCGTCGCAAGGCTAACGCAACACGCGCCCGCTGTGAGCGATGGGCGGCGGGCCGGCGACGGCGCCTGCGCTCGCGACTGCGGGGTTTACTTCATCTCGACTGACATCTGACCTTTCCCACAAACGACAGGTGACGCCGGCCGCTAGCGTTAGGCCCCACCGGTCCCGGTTCGGTGTCGGTTAGTACCTCATCTGTACAGTGACCCCCCCCCCTTCTCCGCACCCACGTGTCCCGCACGTGGTTGCCGTGTGTCTGACGCAGGTCTTGACATTTCCCCAGCTTTCATGAGATTTTTAGCGTCGAATTTCTCTCTGACCGACATGTCTACCTACAAGTCTCTTGGAACGAAACACGGGGGCTCACCCCCACACCCTCTCCGTGACTAGTTCGAACGAGTCCAGTTTTCGGGAAGCCACTTACGTTAGATGCCAACATTTCAGGACCGTGGTCAGGACGCAGGTTCCTGACCTGAAGCCAGGATTTGCATATCGGCTTTCTCGTTTCTGGTCGTGTGCTCTGGTGGTGGGGGTAATTAGGGCGCACCCGCTGGACCGAAAAACCTCGAATCTGTTGTGGCCTGGCCCTCTTAAGTAAATCGAACTGTGAAAAGTTGTCGATTTGCTCTACAAGTGGGGGGCAGATACTCGGTGCGCCCGCGCCGATATGGCGAACTCCGCTACGATCGATTTGCCTCTCTTATTTTCGCCGCCAACCCCTCCTCTCCTATCACATCCCTTCTCCCCGCCCTGCGCATCTTCGCTCCGTCTCCTGAATCAGATCGCTCCACTTCTCCCTTCTCCTCGTCACGCTGACTGGGGGAGGGGGGGATGGGCGCCACACCGCGGCGTGCGTGGTGGGCAGAAGGCGGTACATGTGGGCAGCTGGCCGCAGTTGACAGTCACCAGCTGAGCTGACGAGACGCTCGGCGCGCTCGGCCCTAGTACCTCCTCTCTTTCTCTCGATATCTCCCCCCCTCTCTCTCTCTCCGTCTCGACGACCTCGTCGCAGGCCACCACCAAGCCCGCCTTCGCGCCGAGAAAGACTACGGTGAGTGAGTCCGAGTGATACCCGGTGTGTCTGGGTGGCCGTGCAGGCGTAGCCTAGCCGCCTGCCGCCGGTCTTCGCGGTGGTTGTCGTACACCTGCGCGAACCTCCCCCGTCGACAGTGAGGTGGCGTTTCTACACTGGGGCGTCCTCGGCTGCCTTCGGCGGCCGGCGGATTACAGCTGGGGCGATAAAGACGGGACGTGCAACGGGAAGGGGGTTTGGACGGGGACTTGCGGAATCTGCCGCGGGCAGCGCATGCGCAGCCCGGCTGACGGCAGGGACGGGCGCAACGGTGGGGCGGCAGAGACGTTCAGGAGGAGGCTTTGCGCATCGCGAATTTCCTACATTTTAGGGGGCTGCGGCTCAGTGGGACTGGCCTGACACCGCCCGCCTGGACCCGGGTGGCGGGGG